ACATTTTGGGTTAATCTTTCTCAAACCCCCTAATAAATTTAAAAAAAAAATTAAAAAAAAAAACTAAAATAAGAAGCCATTAAGATAAGGTTTCTTAAATAAGAGCCTTTTGACACGTTGGGTTTCAATAGGTTGAGAAAGTTTACATGTTACAGGGTCAATCGAATAGTTATGTTGTGGAACCGTGTCCACCTTGCAAGGTGGACACAGTTCTATGTTTATAATTACTAAACTATATGTTCATTATTATAAAGCTATATATTCATAATTTTCGAACTTCATATTCATAAGTACGTATTGAACTCTATATTTATAATTACAGAACTCTAAATTCATAGTTACTGAACTATATGTTCATAATTATAAAGATATATATGCATAATTTTTAACTTCATATTCACAATTATTGAATCTCTATATTCATGATTACATAACTATATGCTCATAATTATGTTCACAACACTATGTTCATAATTATAGAACTATATGTTCATAATTTTTTGGACTTCTCAATACTTGTCCATATTAAAAATAATTATAGAACTATATATTAAAAATAGAACTATATGTTCATAATTATAGAATTATATATTAAAAATAAAAAAGTCTTTGGACTTCTCAATACTTGTCCATATTGATGGGCAAGCAATTATATGTTTGTAAATGCCCCTCTTATATAGAGGAGTTTAAGAGCTCATCTTTCCAAACATTTTAAATGTGGAATCAAAATGATCCCACATCATTTACAAAGGGAAGCCACCTTTGTCTTCTTCCTTTTTTTTTTTTTTTAAATTTTAAATTTATTTTGTATATAGTTTTGTTTGGATTATTAAATTTATTGTTATTGTTATTATTATTATTATTGTTATTGTTATTGTTATTGTTATTATTTTAATTTATTTTTATTTTTTTATTATTACATTATTACATAGGATTTTTATTATACTTGAACAATAATATTATCAATTATATTATTATATTATAAAATATAATACCATACATAATGTTACCAATTATGCAATATTACCAATTAATAGATTTTTTTTTTTAATTTCCATTAGACATTTACTTACCAAATAAGCTTTACTACAAAAGTTTGGGCGGGAAAATGAAATTGGATGATTTTGTTTGTTTGTTTGTTTTTTTTGTTTTTTTTTTTTTTTTGAAAAGGGATGATTTTGTTTTTATATAATAATAATAATAATAATAATAATAATAATAATATATAATATATAATATATAATATATATATATATATAGATTAATTATTACCCTAATACTTAATTTATAATTCTGATTTTAAAATTCTTATTATTATTATTAACATTAACATTTGATTAGTTTTATAAAAAAAAATGCAAATTCTAAAATTTGTATGAATAAATTTAAACTCTAATCCGACGCATTTCCTTATATGATTGTATAATTCATTTTATATACACATAATATTTATTAAAATGAAAATAGGAAAATTCTATAATATAATTTCATTAATTATAATTTATATTGATAGATTTATAATTAAAAAATTACATCTAAAAATTTTAAAAGTTGCATTTAAATTTTGCATGATTATTATAGTGCATAAGTGTATGTATGATTAAAAATATTCATGTTTTGTTAATTTAATAATTTCATTTCTTTAATTATATTTCATATTTTATTAATTGTAATTTAACTAAATTGTCACAAATATTTCTAGGGAAGAAATCTTATATTTCTCAATTTCTTTAATTATAATTACCAAATATTGTGACAATTACCATAATAATTTCATTAATTATATTACTTATATTAATTATAATATTTGTAATAATCTCTTCCAAAATTTAAATACATTACCATAATAATCACACAAAATAATGAAAGAAAAATTATTAAAATAATTATCTTTAATAAAAATAAGGAAATTATATTAAAAATTAATTATATATTAAGATAAGTATAATCTTTTTCATGCCAATATATTATATATTAAGTATAAAAATATATATGTATATAAATTACCATAATAATTACACCAAAAAAGGTAACAATATATAATTATTAGGTAATAATATTAATAATTAATTATTAAGGTAAGTATATCTTATTTTGTACTAATAATATTATCCATTATATATATATATATATATATATATATATATATATATATATATATACTTTTAATTTTATATTGATAACCATAGTCTATGTATATACTTTAAGAAAATATTCATTATTAAAGATTAAAGATGAGATATAATATAAAAAGTAAGTTATTTATTAGATTACCTAATATAATTGTCTTACTAATTGATTCAATGCTACTATGTATAATTCATATATTTGAAAACTTTTTAAATCGAAATATCCATTAATTGCCTTAATAATTAAAATAATTGTTAGTCAATCAATATTCAATAGTACTAAAAGTATTATTTGAATTTTTATACATAAAATATAATATTATTAAATCGAAATAATTAAAAATAATGTGTCCATATTACAAAAAATTTTATAATAGTAATTTTTATTGCATAATAGAATTTGGCAATTATTAAACATTCTTTATGGTAATTATTGTATGACTTTTAATACTAAAATTATTAGGTAGAATTTTTATAATTAAAGTATAATATTCTTAAGGTAAAATATTGCTTATATATGGTTTACCCGTATTAACCATCACTATATTAAATTAATAAATAATTCTTTTAATATAATATATTATTAAATCTAAACATATGATTAATATTTATTCAATATTATTACGGAAGTATTACAATTATAAATTTTACTCCGTATTAAATTTTAAATGGCTTAGCATATCGAAGCAAACATGGTAAGTCAATAACATTATTTTACATTAGTAAAGTGATTTTATATCAAGGAATGTCAGATGAAGAATAAAATCAAAATAATACTCTATTGAAAAAAAAAGCTACGGTACTTAATCATTTTTTTCCTAAAAAAAAAAAAAATTAAATGGCAAGAAAAACGTCTTGAAGGGAAAGACAAACTACTCTCTTATTACAAAAAATGTACACTTTAAAAACGGAGAAATTGAATCGAAACAAAGTCCAATGCTTTGATATATTGACAACTAAAAAATGCTTTTAATTTCATTTTGATTTTTATTGTATTCTTAGTATGGTTCCCTCTATAAGTCTATATATATTTACATATACACATAATTCGTCCCTCGATCACAAAACTTTATCATCTTGATGAGCAAGGAACTCTTTTGCTTCCCGATCAATCTTTCTATATATGTATCTTCTCCAAAAAAAAAAAAGACAAAAAAAATATATATCAACATTTTTTCTTATGAACCACTTTTGTTGTTTAAAAACCATAAAATACAAAAAAATAAAAACAAAACAAAACCCAAAAAGAAGAAAAAAATAAAAGAAACTAAGATGATGAAAACCTCACCAATGTAAATCACGTATCAACCTCAACTGTGGAAGATCACATGATGATTAGAAGTCTATTGCTTCCCAGTCAATCTTTCTAGATCCGTATAGTATCTTCTCCACAAAAATAGACCAAAAAAAAAAGAATATATAACATTTTTTCTTACGAACCACTTTTGTTGTTTAAAAATCAAAAAATACAAAAAAAATAAAAACAAAACAAAACCCAAAAAGAATAAAAAATAAAAGAAACTAAGATAATGAAAACCTCACCAGTGCAAATCACGTATCAACCTCTACTATGGAAGATCACAGGATAATTAGAAGTCTATTGCTTCCCGATCAATCTTTCTAGATCCGTATCTTCTCTACAAAAATAGACAAAAAAAGAAAAGAATATATCAACATTTTTTCTTACGAACCACTTTTGTTGTTTAAAAATCAGAAAATACAAAAGAATAAAAACAAAACAAAACCCAAAAAGAAGAAAAAATTAAAGAAACTAAGATAATGAAAACCTCACCAACGTATCAACCTCAACTGTGGAAGATCACAGGATGATTAGCAAAAATCAATAAAATAATTAACCTTAGTTGGGGTTGTGTATGGTCATATAAGGTGTATTTATACACAATGGATGAGATCAAAAGGGTTTAGTATTGAAATTATAAAATGGTAAGAGATCTCAAGAAAGGTAAAATCTTTAATATTATTAAAATGCCATTTTGTCTAAATATTTGATATTACAAAAATGCCTCTAAGTTTTGGGGGGAAAACTTGGCTAGGAAGATTTTACTTTTATATATATATATAGATTAGAATAGAATTTTAACGCAGAATTATTGTACGAATGGGAAAGTAGAAATCAATATATTTTATTAGAAAGAGAGATTTCTTAGGAATTGGGCGGGAAGTTAAAATTTCAGAATTTTGTTTTTATATATAGTATAGAGTATAGATTGTATTACACTATTTTATAATATTAGAATAGAATTTTTTAACGCAGAATTATTGTACGAATGGGAAAGTAGAAATCAATATATTTTATTAGGAAGAGAGATTTCTTAGGAATTGGGCGGGAAGTTAAAATTTCAGGATTTTGTTTTTATATATAGTATAGATAATCCAAAAACATAATTAAAATTGAATAAAAAATGTCAATTTTAAAAGGATTGAGAGAACAAATATGAATGTATGAATAATTCAAGAGGAAAAATACTATAACATATTAAGGGGAGAAGTGTAAATTTTCCTATATTTTATCAGAGACATTCAAGGCCATCTCCAACTCTCCAAGGCCCTTCGCCTCCAAAAGACAAAAATTCAAAAACCCTCCGAAGAGCTTTGGCGACAATTGGCAGTTGATTCTTGAGAGCGCGACTTAGAAGCGCATATGGATTTTGTTTGGTATGGAATGGAATTAATCACGCAAAAAGCAGAAGAATCCAGGCAGGATTACACGGATTCCAAACTCAACATTGTACAACCACGCAAAAATGAGCAGGAATCCACACACAAACCGTTCGTTACGTTCTTTATCAACTCCAATTCAGTATTTCTTTATCCGCTTTGTCAACTCCAATTCAGAATTTCTTTATCGGCTTTGTCAACTCCAATTCAGCATTTCTTTATCCGCTTTGTCAACTCCAATTCAGAATTTCTTTATCCGGATTTACATTTGCTGGATTGGGTGTCTGTGGGTCCTCTTTTCGAGTGAAGTACAATTTGGGTTCTTTAGTTCTAGGGTTTTCAGTCTTGATTGAAGGGGAGAACTCTGTTTGCTGAGAATGATGGCTTCTCCTGCTGCTGCTGCACCTCTTCCATCACAAAAGGAGCTTGAGGAGATGCTCATTGAGTCTGGAATTGAGCTCTCTACACCTCCTTCATCCACTGGCGAGCTTCTCAGCCTCCTTGAAGTAAAATTCTTTCCCTTTTCTTTTGCATATAAAGGTTCAATTATGCTTGGATTGGTTTTCATTGATGGGATTTGTTCACCAGGCAAATGATTATAAAATTTTAGGGTCTCTTTTCCTGGCTGAAAGGATCAATTCTTATGTTGTTGTTGTTGTTGTTGTTGTTGTTCTGTCTACGTTTTATTTAGAAATGTTTATGCTTTCATCTCTAGTTTATTCATATACGTTTTTAGGAACTGACATGTTGAATTACATACACACACATACTCAAAACTATAGTCCTCATCTGGACATTATATGTTTACTAGTGTTGTTTTAACTCTTGTGTTGCATTGCATTTTCTTTTAGAAAGTTGAATCAGAACTGAAGAGCATAGGGCAAGACCCTTCAGTGTCGACGAGAAATGTACTTGAGCCAATTAAAAAAGCGCTGATTGAAACGAAACTTCTGAGACATTCTGAAAAAATCATTGAGGTTTCTGTTGCATCTTGTATCTGTGAAATTATGAGAATATCTGCACCCGTTCTACCCTATGATAATACAGAAATGGAGGTATTTAATACTTTTTATATGTTCAAAACTAAGGCCAGGTTGCAAACAATTTTAGTATTTATTTATTTATTATTTCTTTCTACTTGAGCAGTCTAACATATATCATATATGTGCATCTATGTTTAAAAAATATCATCTTTTGGTTCTCAGGTCGTTTTCCATCAGATTATAGCATCCCTTGAAAAGTTATATTTCATTGATAGTAACTACTATAGTAAGGCTCTCAGAGTTCTTGAAGCCGTTGCGAAGTACAGGTTGTGTGTGATGCTATTGGATTTTGACTATGTGTTAGCTGTTAACGTTTTCCAACTGTTTCTCAAAATCATCAGGTATTTTCTAGTTGTTCATATCATATAGCGTATAATTTTGATATTTTCACCAAGTCAGTTGCCTTGGAAGCTTACACACTATAGTATAATGTTCTGCTATATTGTACATTTGTACTCTTTAATGAGTCTATAGAATTGACCCTTCACTTTTTATCAAGCGTCGAGCATACCAATGCTGTATTAAGATACATGGTGGACATCATGTCTCAGCTCATAGAAGAAAGAGATGAAGTCTCACTAGATTTTCAAGTGTCCATTCTTGATAGCCTAAGAAATGAAACTCTGGTAATAATCACTATGCAAATATTGATGCTATCTCCAAACATTGTTTTCAATTATTTGATTAACTAGGTATGTTTTTATCTAGGCTACTGCACCTTGTTCAACGATATTGGGAAGAGAAGTCTTGGAAAAGTGTGCTGCCAAGCTGAAGCCTTGTCTTTTAGAATTAATGACAAATATGAACATGAATTTGGATGATTATTGCAAAGTACTTGGCTCAATATTGCATGAAGTTCCTGAGGGAGAAAACATGGTATCTATGTGTTTGCGTATTTTTCATTAAACTTGTTGACTTTCTATTGTTGTATTTCCTTTGAAGATCAGAAGATGTTTATAGATTAAGATAATTTTGGTTTGTTCAGCGTATGCTCTTGGATAGAATGAGCAGTTGGAATCTGTAGAAGGCTAGAGGCTAGGTGAAGGGAGTAGACATTAAGAAAGACGTACTATTGCAAGAAGTTATGACTGATGTAGCATTAATAAGAATGAAATGGAGAAACAGAATCCATATAACTGAACTTAACTAGGCTAGGATTGGTCGAGTTGGGTTGAGGTTATGCTCTCAAGCTTCAAAACTTTGTTATCTTTTATCTGCTGTCAGTGTAAGGTTTGGTAGTCAAGAGATGCATTAATTTTAGGGAAAATTGCAATTTTGGTCCTTCAGTTATAGCCACGGTACAAACTTAGTCCCTGAGTTATATGCGTGACCATCTTTAACCCCTAAGTTATGCACGAAGTGGCGATTTTAGTCCCTCAGGGACTTTCTACCACCAATTTGTCACTTACTAAAGTGGCTGATTTGGTCCTTCAAGGACTCAAATTGCCACTCCATGCATCACTTAGGGGTTAAAATGGTCACGCATATAACTCAGGGACTAAGTCTGTACCACAAGTATAACTGGAGGACCAAAAATGCAATTTCCCTTAATTTTAAAATCATAGAACCATTTATCCTTAAAGAAGAAGTCTTTAATGCTGTCTAGATTTAAGTCATGGGCATCTGATCTGCTTGTTTTATCACTTGCCATTCTACATTGAGATATGATGAATATGATATTCTTCTGTGTTTGTGGGAGGAGGGGGTTTCCTTCTAATGGATAACAGTCTAATTTTTCATTTTTTCATGAATGATCAGGTGGAAAATGCTGTTTCTGTACCACCTGTAGAAGGAACATCTGCTCTTCTACTTCCTCAGGTACCACTATTGGATGCCACTCCAACAATGAATAACAATAACCTGGAACCTGATGGGTCATTGAAGGCATTAAACATTCGCAATCAGGCTGAACAGCTAAAAGATACTGATGCACCGTCTGATCCCATGCATAAAAATACAAAAGAGTTGCAACAACAAATGGATCTGAGTGCACTGTCAGAGAAGATAAGACCTGATAAGGGACATGATTCTTTTGGGATGAACGAAAGCAAATGCTCTGATGAAGAACCTACTATCAAGAAGGAACAAGAGAAGAAATGTCCTTGCAAAAGGGGCCGACCAAAGAAGAATCAGACAGATCTCACCGTGCAAAAGAGATATGAAGGGACTAGGTCTGCCCAGAGAAAACTTAAAGAAAAGGTACTACTGTAATGGTGCTTGCAGATTCTCTGGATTTCTGGTTAGAGTAATCTTTGTGATTCTATCTATTCAGTTTGCTACTCATTATATTTCTGCATTGCCTTAACCCATAACTAATTGGTTTGCATCTCTTTATTGAGTTCTATTAAAACTTAAATTTCCATCTGCTTCTTTCTTTTCTATCTCTAATTAGTACCATATTAGTGGTTTAGGATATCTTACTGCTAAATTCTGTCCTCTATTTTAATGTATTCCATGAAAATAAAAAATTTAGGAACTTAGTATCATATTCTCCTTCTTGCAACCAGTGCACCCCTAGACATATGTTGAACTTGGGGTATCTCAGCAGTAAATCCTTTCCACCGTAAGTGTACCAAAAAAGAATGCGTAAAAGGTAATACTATATTATTGCACTTTCCAACGAGTGTGTTGATTGTGAGGGATTGAAAAGCCTAGTGGGTGGTGACTAAGCGGAAGCAAAATATGTGAGAATACTTGGAATAGAGAGAATATATGATTATTATGTTAATAATAATATATTGTCTCTCTATGTTTCTTGAACGGTATAGAGTGTATAGAGATTCTATATTTCTAGAAACATTGGGTTAAACCACTCCTACCTTGAATAGGAAATCAAGATTACTCCTAATAGGAATAAGACTAAGGCTTCCTATTTATTCAACACTCCCCGCAAGCTGGAATATCTAGAAGTTCCACGCTTGAATTAAAACAAACACTCCACCTAACTCAAAATTACAAATGAAGATTAAATGCCGCAAGAGGATAATAGTGTTGAATGTCGTCGGAAGACATTGCACTATACACAACCCTTGAAAATGAAGTTGAAAGCAGATGGATTTGAACATGAACAAGCTCAAGATAACAAAGTGACACAAACACTCTTGAACAAATGTAAAAAACCTTCATCAAGAGCAATAGAGGTGAAATGGAGCAGGAGCAATAAATGTGTACATATGGTCCATAGCAATGAAGATAGCCAAAGCGATAAAGGGAAGCCCCATAGCAATGAAAGAACAAAACATGCATGGTTCATGGTAATACTCCCCTAGCCCCCCTTTCTTGAAACTTGAGAAATAATAAATGGCATTTGGACATAAAATATTATAGTGCCGATTGCCGAAATTAAACACCCTCAGGGAACAAATAAGGCACACTGAAAATGAAGATGCAAATAAGGTAATACCAAAATTGAACTCCCTCAGGAAAGGAACTTGACAACGGATCCAAAAATCCTTTAAATTTCATAAAAGACCAAAATTTATCGAAAAAAGGGACAATGGAATACCATTGGCGATTCTTAGAACAAGAACCTATGCAAGACAGTTGGAAAAGTTGATTTCACATATCTCACTATGAGAAAGAGATTTGAAGCAACTAGGCCTTCCAAGGGAAATCGTGGGAGGAGTTCATGCAAGTGTGAGGCATCTCCTAGTTTGACTGTACATATAAAGAAGAAGGAAAAAGAAATAGCCAATGATGCAGACTTGCAGAGAAGTCATCTCTTCAACGAAATCATCACCAAAATATAAGCACAAGAACTAAACACTTGAGGAAGCAAGCTTTAAACAAAGGAATGGTACCATTGTAATGTTTTATATGAAGAGTCATATTTTTAAAGTTTAGGTTTCTTACTTGTATATATACTCTGTTGTTCCAACCATTTGAATCTATCAAATCCAAGTATCTTTCTTCACATGGTAACAAACTAGGCTCCTTTCACCAACAAAATTCCCTTCTTTTTTTTTTTCTTCTTACCAAATCAATTTTGTTTTCCTCTTGCACGATAAACGTTCTTGTCCCAATGCATCTCTGGCTGTTGTTTGAAAAACTAACGCCACAATCTTACTCAGAAGTCAGGACGACGTCACCGTGAAGGGCTATCGCAACAAACTCAACTTTGCCTTAACCCGTATTGAATTGATTGCATTTCATTATGGTCCTATGATTATTGGGGTGTTGTCTATTTCAGTCCACAACTTTCAAAACTAGTAATTTAGTACCCTAACTATTTAATTTTTATCAATTTTAGTCTGTACGGCCAAATTGCTAGCCAATTATCGCCAATTTTTATCCACATCTCACCTGCCTCTATATTAATTCAAACAATGGTTTACAAATTATCTTTCATTTTAACACTGAATTAAAAGATTTCGACGACAATTGGCCGACAATTTGACGGGGCGGACTAAAATTGATAAAAATTGAAAAGTTAGGGTATTAAATTGTTAGTTTTGAAAGTTGTGGACTCAAATTGACAACACCCCAATAGTCATATGACCAAAAGTGAAATTTACTCTTGAACTTTATTATAACTTACAATTTGCAGTGAAAAATTGGGATATAATTAGTACCATATTAGGGGTTTAGAATTTCTTACTGGTAAAAATTGTCCCCCATGGCCCCATTAATGTACCCAAAAAAATAAAAAATTAAAAACTTAGTATCATGTTATCCTTCTTGCAACCAGTGACTCCTAGACATATGTTGAACTTGAGGTAACTCAACGGTACATCCTATCCACCACAAGTGTACCCAAAATGGATGCATAAAAGATTATACCATATTATTGCACTTTCCGATGAGTGCAACCCTAGATGTGTGTTGAACTTATTGAAACAATATTAGTTGATTCTCTTTGTCCGCCTTGAGAAGGGTCACATTCTACTTTGTTTCAAAAAAAAGTTGTTTTTTATATGATCATCTCTTATGTTCCAATATAGCAGAATTCTTTAAAAATTAGGCAAGTACCATTTCTTATGTATTTTATTGAATATATACTTATTAGTTATTACTCCAGAATATAAATTTTTATTTTCAAAATTCAATTTATTAGTATAAAAACATAAGCTTGGTTAAATTGGCTGAGAGAATTGTAAAAGGGGCACAAATGGGATGGTGAGTAATTCATTTTGGATTATTAATAGAAAGAAAAAAAATGTCCGGAGACACATTTTGGAAATGAGAATTCTTAAAGCTTCATTTCCCTAATGTGTCTTTTGGAAGACTTTACTATATCCATCCTATCAAAATCCGCATTAGAGAATGCAGCTTTTAACCCAATTTTTAAACACTTCTGCTCAATTGCCTGAAATCTTTCTATATGAAGTCTTTACGGAGGCAATCATGTTTGTGACAGGTGAGGATTAGGGAGAATGTCTGATGCATTTCATAGGAGATAAGAAGTAAAGCTTTTCATCTAAATCCAACTTCCTTTATGACTATGGAAGAACTTGGCATTTATCAAGTGAAACTTTTTCACTGAAAATATAAGGTTTTTTTTTTTTTTTTTTTTTTTCCCACAAGTCATATTTATGAAATGCCGTTTTCTTAAGATTACATTTCTAAGATGCGACATCTTTTAATTTTCTTAGCAACTGCAAATGTTATATAGTACTATTATTTTGCTACTGAAAATTGGGTAATACATAATTAGTCTTCATTAAAATTTGCTTATTTTTGACATTTTGTATAAAGTAAATAAAATATGTATAATTTATGAACTTACCAGTATAGCCATTTCATTGATATTTTGCATCTAACTATGACATTTTACCCTATTTGTTTTATATGTCATTACTCTCTTTTGGGCAAAATAACCAAATGTGTACACTTATGGTTTTTATTCATATTCAGGATTCTAAAAAGCTTCATACTATTAAAGATTACGGAAAAGAGTTGGTAGGGGCTAAAGTCAAAGTCTGGTGGCCCCGGGATAGAAGGTAAGTACTTAAGAAGGGCAAATTGAATGACTGTCTTAGTACCCATTGAAATAGAACGCTTCACTTGTTCCATTATTACCTATTGAGATGGAAAGCATCACTTGTTCCATTGATTACAACATTTGACAATTTCCCTCAGTTGTTAACAGCTTGTGTTTTTGAACTTCAAATTCAATTTTATAAATTTGACACCTAAGGTTATAGGTCTGAAAGATGAATCCTTTTGAGATATTGCATTTACATTATTTGAATCCTATGGTAAATATATACAAATTGTTGCATTTAATTTGTAAACATGTAGCTTATGCACTTTTGATTTATTCTTTTAATATGTATTTTTAAAGTTTTGCTTTTTTAAGTCTAAGAAGCGCTGCCAAGGACCTTGTGGTCCAATGACACCAAGTTGCTCCCTTATATGGGAGGGTTGTGGGTTGGAGCCTCAGTGGAGGCGATATTGGCTCTTTGTCTTCATTTGGTTGAAAAAGTAGCTATGAACAGATACTACATTGTAATAGAGTCAGTAGCATTAAAAAAAAAAAAAAAAAGTCTAAGAAGCGCTATTAAGTTGTCTTGTAAATTATGCAAGCAATTATTGTCATATTTTCTGTTCTTTTCTCTTTACAGGTTTTATGAGGGGGTGATTTCTTCTTTTAACCCTAAGACGGAAAAGCACAAGGTACATAAGCCCAACGGGCAGATATTTCTGTATTTTATGTGTTGCATATAATTGCCCTTTGGATATACTATTTTCTATCTTCAAAAATAGGATTTTCCAAGATAAAGGGCAAATGCTCTTCCCTAACAATTTGCTTTTCTAGGATAGTGATATTTAGGCTGAGTTTGACGCATCTTGACTACTCATGCTCCATTATGTTGGCAATTGTAAACCAACTCCCATTATTCTAATTTCTGCCCAATCCATTTCGAGATATTTCTCCTGTATTTGTTTGTCAATAACGCACTAATCTTTTTACTTAGAGGCCAAATGTTGAACTACACAAAGCCAAGCCCAGGAGAGCAGGTTTTAAGTAGAAGGCATAGCCTTCTTGTACCTAGATTAACAAGAGCTAGGGAAAAGCCCCAAAGGTCTATAATTGTAGTTTAAAGCCTTAAAGCACATTAAAAATGTGGTGGAATCATGTCTTTGTTTCCTCTATTTCAAGAGAGCAATCAGAGCATGCATTGATTTTTCATCACATTCATGGAAAGATTTTAAACATATGTATCATGATGTATTGGCTTTATCTCGTATCTTCCTTTAATTTTAATGTGCTAAGTTGCTTTCTGTTACTGTACTGTTGTAGGTCATATACACTGATGATGATGTAGAAATCTTGAATCTCAGATGTGAGCGCTGGGAATTGCTTGAAGAGGTTCCAGTCAAAGAAGTGAGTTAAATTCCCACGTTGTACATTATCTAGTTAGCAAGCTATGATTTCTTGAAGAGGTTCCAGTCAAAGAAGTGACTTAAATTCCCACATTGTATATTATCTAGTTAGCAAGCTATGATTTTATTTGTTTGTCAACTGCCTCTTTGTAACATAACATGGATGCAATTTACAGGGGCATGTAACGGACTGACTTTGCTTTCTGATGGAGTAAAGAGGAAGAGGAAGGGAGATGAGCACAAAATAAACGGAAAGGACTGAATGCAATACAACAATACTATTTGGCAACTTCAGTTTTGAAAGTGAGAGAGAAATGCAGGATAGGATAATGAAAATAGTAAACATGTTAGATAATTGAATCAACTATTGTATCCTTAATGTTATTGTTATTGATAATTGAGTAATGCTAGGTATTCTTTCTAAAAATTTTCCTCCTAATTTTTCTTCTTGATGTGGCAACCATTTAATTGAATTATTTAGTACTTAATTAAATTTGTGTAGAGTGAGTGGTTTGTATCATTGCAGCTACCCATTAGTATTGTCCGCTCCAAAAGGCCCCAGAGGATTATGCAAATTTGAAATGCCAACTGAAGTCAACTCACATCATCTTTGGACTTTCCTTCCCAGTGAAAGGCTGCCTGCTCTAATCACCTTTAGCTTTGTTTCGTAAAGAAGTTATTTTTAGGAAAAATTGCACTTTCGTCATTAAGTTGTATGTTAATTGTAAAATTCATTTTTAAATGTTGGTTGTGTTTACTTTTCACCTTTAAACTATCATTGGTGTTGCACTTTTTATTTTTTATTAATTTTTTCTGCTTACTTTTTGTTACTAAATTATACAAGTTGAAAATTTTGTCCTTAATGCTTTGTTAGTAAATGAATGAAAAGTGCAACTCCAATCATAATTTAGGGACGGAAAGTGAGCATAACCAACAAATGGCGACAAATTATAACAGTATCATATGACTTAAGGATGGAAAGTGTAATTTTTCCCTTATTTTTAATATCATAATCTTTTATGTTCCAATATAGCAGGATTCTTTTAAAATGAGGCAAGTACCATTTCTTATGTAGTTTATTGAATATATATTTAGGACTAGCTCCAGAATATACAATTTTTCTTCAAAATTCAATTTATTAGTATAAAAACATAAATGTCCGTTTACCAACATAAAACTGTTCTTTGTTTTCTGTTTTTTAATTTTTGCAGTTTTCATTCATTGTTTTTTGTTTAGAAAACTTGTTTACTAACAGAAAATTGTTCTCTGTTTTCTATTTTCTAATTTTTCAGTTTTCACCTAAAATTTAGTTTAGATAATAATAATATTTTTTGAGCTAATATTTAAAATATTTTTTTGGATATATTCATTTGAATGACATGTATATGAATATATAACTTTTACTTTGAATTCTAATGTTTATGAGATTTCATTATAACTTTTATTTTGAATTCTAGAGTAAAGTAGGTAGAATAAAGTTGAAATCTCATAAACATTATCAAATAAAGTGTAAGCAAATAAATTATGTTTAAATAAGTAAAGTAGGTAGAAAAGATAAAAGATAGTGATAATTAAAATAAGATGATAATGAATGTAGTCATAGTAATGTGGTTATAGTGACATATAACTAAATAGATGATAGATGATTCTGTTTTCCATTTCGAAAACAGTTTTTAAGTGTGTAGTAAACATGTTCTTTGTTTTCTATTTTCCAATTTCCGGAAATTTCAATTTCCAGTTAGTAAACGGCCCCTTACCGCCTTTGTTAAATTGACTTCGAGAATTGTAAAAGGGGCACAAATGGAGGGGAGTAATTCATTTTGGATTATTAATAGAAGAAAAAAAAAATGTTTGATGCCTCACGTTTTGGAAATGAGAATTCCTTAAAGCTTCATTTCCCTTCTTCCAAAAGTTTGAATCTCCATCCCTAAGGGCTCTACACACCTCGACACGACAAAACATTTGAGAGGATTTAAATTACAGTAACTCAATAGTCTCACACTGCCGCCATCGAAGTTCAAACCTTGACCTCTTCTTTCAAATACTACCTACTGAATCATTGAGTTAAGTTTGTATCAACGAAAACTTCATTTCCCTAACGTGTCTTTTGAAAGAATTTACTATATTCATCCTATTAAAAGTCGCATATAGAGAATGCGGTTTTCAATCCATTCTGTTAGCACTTTGCTCAAGTGCATGAAATCCTTCTATATGAAATCTTTATAAAGGCAATCAATGTTGGTGACAGGTGAGGATTAGGGAGAATGTTTGATGCATTTTATTCTTTTAGCACTTCTGCTCAAGTGCATGAAATCCTTCTATATGAATTTTTTATAAAGGCAATCATGTTGGTGACAGGTGAGGATTAGGGAGAATGTTTGAGCATTTTATACGAGATAAGAAGTAAAGCTTTTCATTTAAATTCAAGAGTTAATTACCGATTTGGTCCCTCGACTATGAGGATTTCATCAATTTGGTTTTCGACTATCAAAATTCCTCAATTTGGTCCCCGACTATGGTATTTTTACCCGATTTGGTCCTAAAGTCAAACCAGCTTGTTTAAGGCAATAAACTTGAGGACATTTTTGTAATTGCACATTGTTCCTTTCTCGGCTGTGTAAGTTAATTCCATACTTTGCCTTATTTCAGAGAAACAAAACCTTCTAATTGTTGAATTCCCAAATACGAAACCCTAATTGCACAACTCCTGTCGAAAATTTGAGTAATGAGTTGAGAAATCATCTGTCTTTCAAGCAACAAATATAACCCTACATCAGTGGACGAGCAGAGCACCGGCGCGTGCGAATCTATGGTGACTTCTGATTTCAGCTAGCTCCTTTCCACCGACCTCTCACCCTCTCTCCTCACTCGTCGACGACGCAGACTGTAGATCGGCGAAGTGTTGACCAGTGGCAGCAGCAAGGGACGGCAGTGGACCTCCATCTCTCTCTCCCTCGCCTATCCCTCTAATCTCAAAAGCAACTCTGGCAATGTCCTTGTCTGGCGAAGCAGAGCAGGTCAGTGGCGAGCAACGGTCTCCATCTCTCGCTTCCTGTCACAGCAGCAATATTGGAGGAGCTCCGGCAGTAGTAGCTCCTACCTTCTACCTTCATTCCCCTCTCTCAGCTAACCTAGCAATAACAGTTGAGGGCAGCGTTGACTGGCATGTAGCGACGACGGAATGTTCCGGCAACAACCGCGAAGTTGTGGATGGTGGTGGTGTCTGACGGTGTAGTTGAGAGGTGATCGGCTATGGTGTTGAGTTGATATTGAGAATGACGGGTGAAGTCTTGTGAAGAAATAGCATGTTGACGTTGATGATGATGATGTTGGCTAGGAATTGGAGATGATAATAATAATTTGGATTGAAGATGATGAGGTAATAATAATTCCTTTTAATAATTCCCAAATTGCCCTTTAGGTTTGACCGGCAAATCACACTTAGGACCAAATCTAGTAAAAATGCCATAGTCGAGGACCAAATTGAGAAATTTTGGTAGTCGATGACCAAGTTGGTGAAATCCTCATAGTCGAGGGACCAAATTGGTAATTAACTCTAAATTCAACTTCCTTTATGACTATGGAAAAACTTGGCATTTATCAAGTGTGACTTTTTGTTGAAGATATATATCTAATCTAAAAACATAATAAGTGTGAATGGAAGTTATACTCCTAATTTATATCCGTTTTTTCCGTTAAGTTTTTTTGTACATTATGCTATAAAGGTTGTACATTAAAATATTTTGGACAAACATACCCCTACCGTTATAACTTCCGTTATCTTTTTCACTATTGTTACCATGCACATGCATCCACCATATATTTTCTTATCTTCTTCATTAATAATAATATATACACATTATATATTTGAGTTATATGTTAATTATTACATAAAATATAAATATCAAATTTATAAAAATGATTTACTTATTATTATTATTATTATTATTATTATTATTATTATTATTATTATTATTATTTAGAATAATTTAAATATCTAAAATATAAATAAATTTAAATTTTAATATAATGTATTAATATTGGACACCTAATTTTTGCGCATCGCGCATAAAAAAAATACTAGTATATATATATATATATATATATATATATATATATATATATATATATATTTCATAAATCACATTTAAAAAATATGATTTTCTTAAGATTACATTTCTAAGATGCGACTTCTTTTAATTTTCTTATCAAACTACAAATATTACGTAGTATTATTATTTTGCTACTGAAAATTGCATAATATATAATTAGTCAACCATGTCTTTAGTAGTTTGGGCATTCGAGTTATGATATGTGTATCAACGGTATCTCTAAACTCTTGAGATGAATGCCTGCTAGGGCATGTGTAGCAGTAGTATTTCAAAATTAATGTTCAATCATTCCATTGAAGTTTTTGAAATTCAAATTATGAGCTGAAGGTCATGGGTTCGATGTCTGCTAATTCTTTCAGTCATCCTAGACAACCAAAAGAAGTGAGAGATTCGTGATTGGGCTCGAGTCAAAGTCCAAGGTAGTTGGGGGGGTGGGGGGGGGGGGTATGTTGGAACTTGGGTCTGAAGGTTTGAGCCTAATTTGGCAAATTAGGGAAACTTTGGGGGTGTTGATGTAAATAGTTTTTTAGACTATTTGACAACTAGATGGAAAAATGAGGTCTAAGAAAGCAAGATGTATGGACAAAGGTGGGGGGAATTTTTGCCCTGTACTTGACCAACTAGGACGCCATCCGACGCCCCGTGCCAGGCTATGGCTTCAGCCAAAGGTGTCGGGGGTCACTAGTGATCGGGCTTTGCCGAGCAACAAGAAGGGGGAGGGTAGCCAGTTGAGCTTTGGGGGTTGGGGTGTTTGGCGGATTGACGGGAGACGTGGGCAGTCTAAAATTGTTAGCATTCTTGAATCTTGATCACTCATTCTCCACTTTTTCTAACTCCAAAAATAGTATAAGTGAGGGAGTTAGGGTGTTCTTCGAGACATCATTGACTCAAACTCAAAACACTTGTCAAACATGCCCCTTGTGTTCCATAGTGCCTAAAGCATTAAAAGCCAACTTAAGATTACTTGCCAAATAGTATTATCATTGTACATTTGTATTTCAAGATATCATTATTTATTTTTACTCAAACTCCATTATTATTAATTTGAAACCCCTTCTTTTATTAATTTGAATTTAATCAAGTTTAAAAAATAAAAGAGTTAATAAAATTTAATCTATTTTTTCTTGGTCTGTCAAAGACTAGTCCAAACAGGTCGGATTGATGCACTTTAACTACTCTAAGTTTCATAATTTATAAACAATTTAATCACTACTCTAAGTTTCATAATTCTAATTAATTTCTAAGTGATAAATTATTGAAAAAAACATAAAATCCAGCCTTAACAATCCTAATACGAGTCAATGCTTGCATTGTATCACTTTTGTCATATACTCATATAGTGTAGAATCTGAGAGAGATTAAGAACGCGGCAGGGAGGCGATTTCTAACGCCCTTCTCCTCCAAAGACAAAAATTCAAAACCGCTATAAAAAGAGCTTTGGCGACATTTGGCAGTTGATTCTTCCATTAGAGAAATTTTGTCGTGAAATTTGCAAATCCACAGGGACAATCTCGTAACATCGTATCTCCTCCCTCCTAGACCCCACAATACTACACACACTAGTTCACATTTCCCACCCAGCAATGACGACGCACTTCAGAGCCAGCGCCTATGGATTTTGTATGGTTTGGAATCGAATTAGTCGCAGAAAAAGTAGAAGAATCAGGACAGGATTACACGGATTCCAAACCCAACAGTGTACAACCACGCATAAATGAGCAGGAATCCGCCAAGGGCTCACATTTATACTGTTCTTTGTCAACCCCAATTCACCATTTCTTTATCTGGATTTGCATTTGCTGAGTTTTGGGTTTCTGGGCTCCTCTTTTCGAGTAAAGTACAACTTGGGTTCTTTGATTCTTGGGGTTTCAGTCTTGATTGAGGCCTCTGTTTGCATAGAATGATGGCTTTTTCTTCTGCTGCTGCACAAAGGGAGCTTGAGGAGAAGCTCACTCAGTCTGGAACTAAGCTCTCCACACCTCCTTCATCTACTCGCGAGCTTCTAAGCCTCATTGAAGTAATTTTTTTTTTTTAATTTTTAATTTTTTTTTGGATATAAAGGTTCAATTATGCTTGGGTTGGTTTCATTGATGGGATGTCTTCACCAGGCAAATGATGACTTAATAAAATTTGAGGGTCTCTTTTTTTTTTTTTTTTTTTTTTTTTTTTGCTGAAAGGATAAATTCTTATGTTGTTATTCTGTCTACATTTTACTTAGAAATGATTATGCTTTTTCTTCATATCTGTTTTTAGGAACTGACATGCTTGAATTACACAATACACACACACACACAAACTATAGTCCTGAGTTTTGAATTTGATTCTCCAAATGGGACTTACAAAGAGCTTTGATTTTATGGTATTTTTTCTGATTAAAATATATAGCTATATTTGTCTGTAACTCATATGTATGCCTGATGTCCCTTCCTTGAGAATTGGCCAAAAATTTATTTTGATGAAATTATCAAATTGCCTGGACATTATTTGTTTACGACTGTTGTTTTAGTTCTTTTATTGCATTACATTTTCTTTTAGAACGTTGAATCTGAACTGAAGAGCATAGGGCAAGACCCTTCAGTGTCGATGATAAATGTACTTGACCCAATAAGAAAAGCACTGATTGGAACGAAGCTTCTGGGACATTCTGATGAAATCATTGAAGTTTCTGTTGTATCTTGTATCTGTGAAATTATGAGAATATCTGCACCCGTTCTACCCTATGATAATACAGAAATGAAGGTATCCAATACTTTATTTGTTCAAAACTTAGGCCAAGTTACATACAATTTCAGTATTTATTTATTATTTCTTTCTACCTGAGCATTCTAACATATATGTTCATCTATGTTTAAAAAGTTCCATTTTTTTGGTGCTCAGGTAATTTTCTATCATATTATAGCATCACTCGAAAAGTTACCTGACATTCTTAGTGACTGCTATAGTAAGGCTGTGAGAGTTCTTGAAGCCATTGCGAAGATCAGGCTGTGTGTGATGCTATTGGATCTTGACTATATCTTAGCTGTTAACGTTTTCCAACTGTTTCTAAAGATCATCAGGTATCTCTCCTGAGGAAACCTTTAACTGTAATATATATTGAACTAACAGACTTATAGCAAGTGTTTGTTCTTATTGTTGTTTCAAACGTTGGTCATATTAGCTCCTAGTAAGGAACTCCATTTCCTCTGGGTTATAATGTTATATATGCACATAAGCTTTTGGGTTGTTTGGTAAAATAGTTAGCCTATCAGCCAATTTTGGCTTATTTGACCACAATTAGCAGTTTGACTTTGTTAATATGAGTGTTTGATTAATTTGCTTTTTGTAACAACTTATTGCTCCAAAATGCTAAAATTCAAAAAGCTGCTCAGAGTAGCTTTTTTGATTAGCTTTTTGAGAAAGTCATTTTGTATGTAATCAACTAACAACTAACAGCTACTTTACCAAACACTCTTCTACAATCAGTTAATGCTATCAACTAGTCAAACCCACTAACCCAATCAACTAACAGCTTTCAGCTAACAACCATTTACCAATCAGCCACATTTATGTAATGTGGTGCATTGTAGTCCAACAATGGATTTCTTCAGATATTATAGTGAACTTTTAAAACCTTTATGATTATTTGTAGTAACTTTTCTGATGTAATCCAGAGTGGTATCTACACAGTTTTTTCTTAGTTGTTTACGAGACAATTAGAAGGCTGAACATTTAGGCAATTAGATTACTTGTGGTTTCCCGTTTCCTTCTTTGGATGCTTACACAGTCTAATATTCTGCTACATTGTACATTTGTACTCTTTAGTGAGTCAATAGAATTGACCATTTGCTTTTGATCAAGGCCATATCATCCCCATGCTGTATCGAAATACATGGAAGACATCATGACTCAACTCATAGAAGAAAGTGATGAAGTCTCAATAGATTTTCAAGTGTCCATTCTTGAGAGCCTCAGAAAGAAAACTCTGGTAATAAGCACTTCTACAAATTCTTTCTCCAAATACTGTTTTCAATTATTTTATTAACTCGGTATGTTTTTAACTAGGATACTGCACCTCTTTCATCGCTCTTGGGACATCATGTCTTCGAAAAGTGTGCTGCCAGACTGAAGCCTTGTCTTTTAGAATTAATAAAAACTATGAACTTGAATTTTGATGATTATACCGACGTACTTGGCTCAGTATGCCGTGAAGTTCCTGAGGGAGAAAACACGGTATCTATGTGTTTATTTATGTATATTTTTCATAAAACAAACAGTTCATTACTTCCTGTACTTTGTCCTTTGTGCATGTTCAACATATGCTCTTGGATTGAATAGAATGAGTGATTGGAAGTTGTAGAAGCTAGGTGAAAGGAGTAGACCAAAACATACTACTGTAGACATTAAGGAGTAGTCGAGTAGACTACCAATTATCATTGCATTAAAAAAATTGAGGATGCCCTGTAACTTATATTTTGTTGGGAAGGAGGCACTATATATATATATATATATATATATATATATATATATAGAATCCTAATCATATGAGAACCATTTCCTAGGTGAGAACTTGTGGACAAATTTAAACCATTGATTTGCAAGATCTGATGGATGAGAAATCAAGTAAAAAATGAGCGGGGTCATTTTCATAAATATTATAAATTTTTAAAATGAGCGGGATCATTTTCATAAATATTACAAAGTTTTGTTTATTTTCAACCGTTAGATCTACTAGATTAATGGTTTAGATTTGTATTCTCACCTGGGGCAATGTTCTCACCTGATTATGGACCTATATATATAGTATATTCTTCTGTGTCTGTGGGGGGTGGGGGCAGGGGTTGCCTTTGAATGGATAACAATCTAATTTTCCGTGAATGATCAGGTGGAAAATGCTGGTTCTGTACCACCAGTAGAAGAAACATCTGTTCTTCAACTTCCTCAGGTACCACAACTGGATGGCACCCCAACAATAATGAATAACAACAATAACCTGGAACCTAATGGGTCGTTGAAGACATTAAAGCATTGCAATCAGGCTGAACAGCTAAAAGATACTGATGCACCATCTGATCCATTGCATACAAATACAAAAGATTTGCAACAACAAATGAATGTGAGTGGACTGTCAGAGAAGGTAAGACCCGATACAGGACATGATTGTTTTGATATGAATGAAAGCAAAAGCTGCATTGAAGAACCTACTAACAAGAAGGAACATGAGAAGAAATCTGGTAGCTCATCTGATAATGCAGCTCCAAAGGAGTCATCTTCGCCATCTGAAACTGGAAAGCAGTCTATGCCTGACGTGTTAACCCCCAACAGTGAAAACACCCATGTCAACTCTGGAAGTTCTCGCAAAAGGGGTCGACCAAAGAAGAATACCCATGTCAACTCTGGAAGTTCTCGCAAAAGGGGTCGACCAAAGAAGAATCAGAGAGAACTCACTGTGAGAAAGAGATCTGAAGGGACAAGCTCTCCCAATTTGACTGTAAGTATAAAGAAGGAAAAAGAAACAGTGAGTGATGCAGAGAAGAAATCTCGTAGCTCATCTGATAATGCAGCTTCAAAGGAGTCATCTTTGCCATCTGAAACTGGAAAGCAGTCTATGCCTGGCGTGTTAGCCCCCAACAGTGAAAACACCCATGTCAACTCTGGAAGTTCTCGCAAAAGGGGTCGACCAAAGAAGAATACCCATGTCAACTCTGAAAGTTCTTACAAAAGGGGTCGACCAAAGAAGAATCAGACAGAACTCACTGTGAGAAAGAGATCTGAAGGGAAAAGCTCTCCCAGTTTGACTGTAAGAATAAAGAAGGAAAAAGAAACAGTGAGTGATGCAGAGAATTCATCTCTTCAACAAAATGATCTCCAAAATATAAGCAGAAGAAAGAAACAGTCTATGCCTGACGTGTTAGCCCCCAACAGTGAAAACATCCATGTCAACTCTGGAAGTGCTCGCAAAAGGGGTCGACCAAAGAAGAATCAGACAAAACTCACTATGAGAAAGAGATCTGAAGGGACAAGCTCTCCCAGTTTGACTGTAAGTATAAAGAAGGAAAAAGAAACAGTGAGTGATGCAGAGAATTCATCTTTTCAACAAAATGATCTCCAAAATATAAGCAGAAGAACTAAACATTCTACGAAGCAAGCTTTAAATGAAGAAAAGGTACTACTGTAATGGTGCTTGCAGATTCTCTAGATTTCTGGTTAGGGTAACCTTTGTGGTTCTATCTGTTCAGTTTGCTAAGTATTTCTGCATTTACTTAATTGAGCTAAAATTAACTCAACTTTTCCTTAATCCTTATCTAATTGGTTTGCATTTCTTTATTGAATTCTATTAAAACTTATAATTTGCCATGAACAATTGAGTTGGAATAAATAAATTCAGTCTATGTAAGTTTCCACGTACCTCTTTCTCTACTATATTTAATTAGTACCATATTAGGGGTTTAGAATATCTAAATGCTGTCCCCTATTAATGTACCCAAAAATGTAAAAAAAATTTAATACTTAAGATCATATTATCCTTCTCACAACCAGAGCACCCCTACACATATGGACATGGGGTATCTCAGTGGTAAATCCTATCCACAATAAGTGTACCCAAAAAGAATGAATAAAAGAGTAATATCATGTTATGCACTTTTAATCCTAGATACATCTTGAACATTTCGAGAAACAATCTTAGTTGATTTCTCCCTGCCTGCCTTCAGTAGGCATCCCTTCTGCTTCATTTCAAATAAAGTTGTTTTTAATATGATCATCTCTTATGCTCCAATATAGCAGAATTCTTTAAAAGTGAGGAAATTACCATTTCTTATGTACTCCATTGATTATATACAAATTACTCCAAAATATAAATGTTTATTTTCAAAATTAAATTTATTAATATCAAAATACAAGCTTGGTTAAATTGACTCCAAAAATTGTAAATGGGGCACAAAGGGAAGGATGCTAGTTCTTTTTGGATTATTAAATATTAATACAATGAAATAAAAAGTGTCCGAAGCCACGTTTTGGAAATGAGAATTCCTTAAAGCTTCATTTCCCTAATGTGTCTTTTGGAAGACTTTATTATATTTGTCTTACCAGTAGCCGCATATAGAAAATGCGACTTTGAACCCATTCTTTTTACTTCTAATTGCCTGAAATCCTTCTATAGAAAGTGTTTATGGAGGCAATTCATATTGATGAGGATAAGGGAAAATGTCTGATGCATTTTATAGGAGATAAGAATTAAAGCTTTTCATCTTAATCCAACTTCATTTATGACTTTGGAAGAACTCGTCGTTTATCGAATGTGACTTTTCACTGAAAATATAATTTTTTTTTCCTCAAGTCACATTTAAGAAGTGCGGTTTTCTTAAGATCACATTTCTAAGATGCAACTTCTTTTAATTTTCTTATTAACTGCAAATGTTATATAGTACTATTATTTTACTACTGAAAATTGCATGCTAAAAATTAGTCTTCATTAAAAAGCTTTCATTTTGAAAGTGCAACTGGCTTATTTTGCACATATTGTAGAAAGTAAATAATTTATAATTTATAAACTTCTTCCCAGTATAGCCATTTCTACGGATATTTTGCATTTAAGTATGACATCTTGCCCCCTTTTTTTTTTTTTTTTTTTTTTTTTTTTTTTTTTTTTTTTTTTTTTTTTTAATGTCATTGCTGTCTTTTGGACAAAATAACCAAATGTATACACTTAATTCTTTTTCAGGATTCTAAAAAGGTTCGTTTTATTAAGGATTATGGAGAAGAGTTGGTAGGTACTAAAGTCAGAGTTTGGTGGCCCCTGGACAGAAAGTAAGTACTTACGAAGGATAAATATAATGACTGCCTTAGTACCTACTTAAATAGAGAGCATCATTTGTTCCATTGATTACAACATTTGACAATTCCCCTTGGTTGATTACAAAATGTTTCTGGATTTCAAATGCAATTTTGTAAATTTGACTTCAAAGATTATAGGACTAATAGATGAATCCTTTTGAGATATTTACATTTACAATATTTCGATCCTTTGGTAAATAAACAAATTCTGTTTATATGTATTTTTAAAGTTCCTTTATTTTATTTTATTTTTTGAGTCTGAGATGAGCTATCTAAGTTGTCTTGTAAATTGTGCAAGCAATTCTTAGTCATATTTTCTGTTCGTCTTTACTGTTTACAGGTTTTATAAGGGAGTGATTTCTTCTTTTGACCCTGAGATTAAAAAGCACAAGGTACATAAGCTCAACTTGTGGATATTTCAGTAGTTTTTGTGTTGCATATAATTTCCTCTATTGCCCTCTGAATATCCTACTTTCTAAAATAGGGTTTTCCAAGATGAAAGGCAAATGCCCTTCCCTAACAATTTGCTTTATAAGGGTACTGATATTTAGGCTGAATTTGACCCATGCTGAAAGCATGCTCCATTGGCAATTATAAACGAACTCCCATTATGCCAATTTCTGCTTCATCCATTCTGAGAAATTTCTCCTATATTTGCTTTTGAAACTAAACCTCTTTATTTAGAGGCCAAATGTCAAACTACACAAAGCCCAGGAGAGGAGGTTTTTACTAGAGGTCATAGCTTCTTGTATCTAACTAGCTTGGTTGGCGTGAGTGGTCGTGCACTCTTGTCCCTTAAGAGAGGTCGGGAGTTCGAACCCCCCTCTCGTATGGAAAAATAATTTGGCCAGCACTTTGCCCCTTAATTGGGCCAGTCCGGTGCGAGGGCCTGCTCAGGACACCGCGTGGTCTGACCAAAAAAAAAAAGCTTCTTGTATCTAGATTAACTAGGAAATAGCTAGGGAAAATGCTCAAAGGTTTTATAATAATAGTTTAAAACCTTAAAGAACATAAAAATTGTGATGAAAACACGCCTTTGTTTAATCTGTTTTTTTGACTAGTCCTCTTTTTCAAGAGAGCATGCGCGGATTCTTCATCACATTCATGGAATGATTTTAAACATCTGTATCATGTATTGTCTTTCTTTAATTTTGATGTACCAAGTTGCTTCCTGGTACTGTTTAGGTCAAATACAATGATGATGATGAAGAAATCTTGAATCTCAACCGTGAACGCTGGGAATTGCTTGAAGAGGTTTCAGTCAAAGAAGTGAGTTAACTTTCCACATTGTCTATTTATCTAATTAATTAGCAAGCTGTGTTTTATTGGTTAGTTTCACGTCTCTTTGTAACATAACTCGTTGGATGCAATTTACAGGAGCCTGTAACTGACTTTCCTCCTGAGCTTTGTGTTGTGTAAGTTCTGATCTTTAAATGTTCTTGCAATTCTTGTACAATTCCATTTGTTTGTCTATCTGTTAAGGCCGTGCTTTTAATTCCTATGATCTGTGCACTGGTAGCACGATATATGAGCTTGTGTGTCTGCCATCTCTGTTTCTCTTAAGATGATAGAGCACTAGTCAAATTCTATCTCATTGTATTGCCCCTGTAGAGTGTTAGGAAAGGGTTTCTAAAACATGAATTACTTACCCTTTTATGTTCCCAACCTGTAATGGGTTTTGTTCACTGTTGCAAAAATCGGTCTAGGCGCCCCTAGACCGTGGCGATTTCCCCCCTAGGTGTCCGTCCGCCTAGCGCCTAACTCGGCCGACTCGACCACCTAGGCTGCCGCCTAGCGCCTAACTTAGCCGAGTTAACTCGTCCATTTCTTTCGAGTTAGCCGAGTAAACCCGGTCGGTTCGACCTTGCTAATTTTTTTTTTCATTATATATATATATATATATATATATATATATATATTTATATATAAAATGACATATATACACCCACACACGTGCACTGTTTTTTCTTTTTTTAGTAAGCCGCATAGGCGCCCGCCTAGGCGCTACTCTACCGCCCGACTAGCGCCTAGCGCCTACTGCAATCATGGTTTTGCTTGGTAATTTGAGTAGAGCCGGAAAAAATAAAAGAATAAGTTACTCGAAGGAAAAAGAATCTAGTGCCTCACCATCAAAAAGATTAGTTTTTACTCATGTAGTCTTTTGCACTACGAGGAGAAACTTGCTTCTTAATGTGAAGAGCTTACACTTTCAGGTCTGGGAAGAAAGCACAGGGAAATGGCAGCACGCCTGGGAAAAATATCAAGTCTGAGAAAGCTCCAGCCAAGGATAACAGCACATTGTTGAGTCACAACAGTAAAAATATTGTAATCAAAGAAGAGGCTGAAGACGAATCTACTGTGCCATCCAATGCCCTCAGTGAGGTTAAAGTCTCCACTGCTGATGCTTGAGGATTGTTAAGAGTCCCACATTGAAAATATAAGAGAGAATATGAGGTTATAAGGTCATGGGTTAGACTAATTAATTGATTGGAATATTGGATTCAGTCTTTTAGTGTGGTTTGGCCCATGTGCATTATAGCCTAATTGAGTGACCTTGGCCCAATCTTAGATTATAACATGGTATCAAAGCCTATTTTACTTTTCTTTGAACTCGGTTTATTTTGTTTTTAAACTGTGGGATTTATGTTACCTTATTTAGCGGTGTAATGCATAACAATTAACCTTGTCCTAAGTACTGGGGAAACATATATAAAAATGTTCTTTTGGTTAGTTCACATCTCTTTGTAACATAACTTGGTTGCAATTTTCAGGAGCCTTCAACGGACTTTCTTCCTGAGGTTTCTGCAATGTAAGTTCTGATCTTTACATCTTGTAACTCTTATAAGATTCCACTTGTTTGTCGATTTGTGATGGTTGTGTTTTTAATTCCCCAGATCTGTGCATTGTTAGCACTGTAGCTGTTGAATAATAGGAAAGTTGTCTTAGTTTTCTATTCTTATTAGTAGTTTCCTATTCCTATTAGGACTAATTTAGTATCTAGTTTAGTATATATAGAGGTCCATAGAAGTATAGAATAGACATTAAGAGAGACAATCTATTGTACTCTTTCATTATAATATATTCTCTATATTCTCTTGTTCTTTGGTTATCACATATTTTGCTTCCGCCTAACTGGCGGGTGGTGGTTTTCTCCACCCGCCAGACCTATCAATCCCTCAATTTCAACATGGTATCAGAGCCTACTTTCCTAGGCTGTTTTTCTTCAAATATTAAAACCCTAATATAAACCCTAGCTTTCCGCCGCCGCTGCTGCCACCGGAGAGTAACCACTGCCGCCACTGTTTTCTCTCGTTCCGACGCACTTCTAGTTGTTGTTCAAAGCAACTAACACCACAGCCTTACTCGGAACCTTGTCGCGAGCCGTCGCTTGAAATCCGGTCGCCATTCACCGTCGCACGCGCCACCACCGTCGTCGGGAGTGCTTTCGCTTTTCCGGCCAGATCTCCTCTTCTCCAGTGATTTTGTGATCTCACCTCCTACACCAATGGATTCCTCTCCCTCTTGCGACCTTATCTGGAAAATTTCATCGCTTTCCTCCACCGCCGTCGTCCTCACGCGCCACCGCCGCCGTCATGCGCCGGCGACCTTCCTCACGCGCCGGCGCGTGAGTCTGCCTCCGGCGAGATTTTCCGGCGAGATTTTTCAGATGGTTGTTTTGCCCTTCTTTCAACTTTTTGGTGAAATTTGAAGGCTTCTTTGGGTTTGTTGCCGAACATTTTCCCATGGTGTTTGTGTTTTGGTATAACCGTGTTTGTTTCTTTATCTCCAGTATGCCTTATCCCATGGATGGTCAGTTTCAGCACTACTATAAAGGCCTTTGATTATTTCCCATGTTTCAAGTAAGGGGGAGTGTGACTATCTACAATTGGTGTGCTATCATTTACTATTATTTGCTATTTTATCTACTATGGGCTCCCTTTGCTATTCTTTGCTCCCTTTCTACCTCTACCGCTCTCTTGTGTCCGCTCTCTTGTGTTATCGGGAGGTTGTTCATGTTTAACTCTATCCTTGGTGTGTTCATCTTCATTCCCGAGGTTCATGTTCAATTCTGTCCTCGGTGTGTTCATTCCCAAGATCGTGTTTAGCTTCGTCCTTGGTGTCTTCGTCTTTATTCCCAAGGGTCCGTGGTGTCTTCGTCTTTATTCCCAAGGATTGTGTTCAGCTCCGTTCTTGGTGCCTTCGTCTTCATTCCCAAGGAAGGGTCAGACATAGCGCAATCTCTTTTGAAGTCATCCATCCTCGAGTGCTTATATTGTTGTGATGGTGTTCGTGTTTTCCCTTGGTGCCTCCATTCCCAAGGATGTTCGTGACAAGCTTTGCCCCTGGTGTGTTCATTCCCAAGGGTTGCATTGTCCCTCCGAAGCCATCTCGCATTGTTATCCTCTAGTTGCATTTAATTTTCACTTGTAATTTTGAGTGAGGTAGAGTGCTTGTTTTAATCCAAGCTTGGATCTTCAGATGTTCCAGCTTGAGGGGGAGTGTTGAATAATAGGAAAGTTGTCTTAGTTTCCTATTCTTATTAGTAGTTTCCTATTCCTATTAGGACTAATTTAGTATCTAGTTTAGTATATATAGAGGTCCATAGAAGTATAGAATAGACATTAAGAGAGACAATCTATTGTACTCTTTCATTATAATATATTCTCTATATTCTCTTGTTCTTTGGTTATCACATATTTTGCTTCCGCCTAACTGGCGGGTGGTGGTTTTCTCCACCCGCCAGACCTATCAATCCCTCAATTTCAACAGTAGCATAGTATATCCCTCTCTTGTGTGTCTAGATCATCTCTTTTCTCCTAAGAAGATAGATCACAAGACACAAGTCCAATTCTACCTAAGTATATTATCCCCCAGAGGGTCGGGAAAGGTTTCTAAAACATGAATTACTCGCCACATTTATGTTCCTAACCTGTGGGTTTTGACTGTTAATTTTGTCAGAAAAGGCACCTCAAAGAAAAAAGAATCGGGTACCTCATCCTCGGAAAGGTTGGTTGTTATTCATGTAGTGTATACGTGTTGGCAAAACTTATTTCTTAATGCGAAGAACTTGTGTTTTCAGGTGCGGGAAGAAAGCGCATAGAAGTGGCCGCAAGCCTAGGTAAAGTGTTGTTCCATCTGAAGCCTTAATCGAGGTTAAAAAATCTGGCGCTTATGCTTCAGAATGAATAACCTAACAGTACAATGCAGCTGTAAAAGACCAAATGGACTCTAGACTTGTTATATATGGTTGCTTTTAATCTCTAGTATTTGTGCTACTTTGATAGTTAACCTTAACTGGAGTTATAGTGAATATGTGCTTTCTTTTATTGAATTGCAATAGGTAAAATATATGTATGGAGTCTCTGTCTCAAAAGTAAATATTCATTAGAGATTTAGAGTGGCATGCAGTAAACTTCTATGGTTATATAAGATCTTTAATTTAAATTTGAAGTTTATTTGTTTAAAATTCTAAAGCAACTTTAAGAGTTAATACACAATTTAGTCATTGATTATAATGATTTTTTCTTGATTTAGTCATAAACGTCTTTTTGTGTTTAGTTAGGTCTTCGATTTCGATGGTTTTATCTAATTGAATTCTCTGTAATTGTAGCTTGGTAATTTTCTCTCTATTAATACTCAATTTAGTTTTTGATTATAGTAATTTTATCTAAATTAGTCTTTGATTACACAAATTATTATATAGACCCAGGTCTAAATGTTCACAATTTACCTTTTGAAAATTCACAAATTGTATACTATGAACACACAATGTCAACATATATGTAATTGATTACCTTGTTTTGTATTAAGAAGTTCCTTTCAAATACTCTAGTTAGACAATATTAACATATTCGTATTTGATGACCATGTATTGTATATGTGTTTTGACTTAGAAATATAATTTATATTTTAGAAATTCACAATTTCAAAACTAAGAATACACAATTTATACGTCGCTTAGGATTAAGGTTCACCTTGCAAAGTGGACCTTGTCCATGGTACAACAACTCCTTTGATTATAGTGGTTATCCATATTGGCTCGCCATATGGGTTAGGTTGGGTTGAGCTAAACAGCCTAAACAATAAAAATCTTGACACAATCTAACTTATGGTAAATTATTGTATGGACCACGGTCCAAAAATATCATCCTGAAAATTATGAGTAAAAATAATGTATATTATGTGTTAGAATAATGTACATTACGTGTTAGAATAATAAAGCATCTGGGGTAATATAATGTACATTATGAGCTATAAAAATGTATGTTATAGTTGAGCGCGTGAAAAAATAAAATTAAGCAAAATGATGTTATTCATTTTTTTTTTTAATTTTTTAAAAAAGCCCAAAGATCCTAAGCTCCTATTACCAGGATTCAAACCTATGACCACTCATTTAGAATCGTAACTGAGATGCCATCACACTACATAATAGTTGACTTCATTTTCTTTAATTTAGATTTATTATATTTATCAATACTAGATTAAATATAACTTGGATTGGGTTAGACCAAATAACAAATATTATAACCTGACCCACAGTTTTTTTTTTTTTTTTTTTTTAAATCAATCATTTTTTCTTCAATTTCTTTACTTTATAGTTATTGCATTTATCATTGTCTAATTAAAATAAGTCATGCAGGTTGAATCAAACAGTAAAAATTTTGGCCTAGCCTTTCCAACAGTCCAGAAAAAAAAAATTTTAAACTAATTTTTCATTCAATTTCATTAGTTTAGAGTTATTATATTTCTCAATTTATATATTTATTTTAGAATTAATACCCAATTTAGTCATTGACTATAGTGATTTTTCTTGATTTAGTCTTAAACGACTTTTTGTGCTTAATTAGGTTATCGACTTTAATTGTTTCACACTTTTACCTAATTGAGTCATATGTTAAGATAACTTGACAATTTCATCTCTATTAATATCTAATTTTGTCATCGACTATAGTAGTTTTACTCAAGTTAATTAGTCTTTGACTATAGTGATTTTACCCAATTTAATTTAGTCATTGACTATAGTGGTTTTTCTCGATTTTGTTATTAATTTGAATAGCCGATGACTCAATTGGGTAAAACTAACAAAATCGAACAAAAAGACTTTTAGGACTAAATCGAGAAAATCACTATAATCGATGACTAAATTAGGTATTAACTCATTTATTTTATTATAAAAAGTTACAAGTTAAAAGTTATTTATTTACATTTTTTATTATAGTTATTAATAATCTTTATAACTATTATAAATTTTAATTTATAATTTTATTTTAATATAACAAATAACTATTATCATCGTTAAAACAATTAATTTTTCTAATAAATAATTTTGTAATAGATTTATGTTTTTAAAGAATGAATCAAAAAGAAAAAACTATAATTTTATAACTTTCAGCCAATAAAAAAAGTCTATTTTCTAACTTTAGCCAAACACTAAAAAATGAAAATATTTTTTTTTGAAAATGATTCATGTTTTAAAAATTATTTTCTAAAAAATATTTTCTGAATTTTAAAACTGATCGAGCCTGAATAAACATGCAATATCAATTAACTTAATGAACTTGTAATAATAAATTTATAGTAAACATTTAATGAGCTTGTAATAATGACTTAATAAACTTATACTAGTGATTTAATGTAATTATATGTTAAATAAATAAATTTTTGGTTTCAAAAAAAATTGTTAAAAATCAATATGGGTGTCATTAATTTAAAAATTTTATAGGTTAATTTTAGTTTCACAAAAAAAATTTAAATTAAAAAATAATTTAGTGAGAAAAGTTTGGAATTATTTGATTTGACTTAGGTTCATCTTACAAGATGGAACGGAGTCTTGAATATAACAATTGCCTAATTACACTTAAGGTTCTATAGTACACGGTTTGATTCAAATTGTACGCTTGTCATTTTTATCTCAAAGTAAATATTCATTAGAAATGGGGTAGGTGGTTTCAACAACTTGTAAGAAAATAAATATACATTTTATTTTAAAAGTTTATTATAATTAAGGCAAAGAACGTGTATAATTTTATAATCACAAATCATAATTTACAAGTAAATAATAAACATTAATTAGCATTCACCAAATTTACTAGTCTCTTATTATAATTAGTATAATACTATAATACCATCTATAATCCATTCTAGAAGAGGAATTGTTAAAAACCAACATTGACTAACTCTACTTGTCACACATTAATAAATATATACAAAGTCACAATATTAAAAAAAAAAAAACACACACACACACACACAATTAGTTGGCCACTACTATGTAGTACCATTTCAAATGGGTAATCACATGATCAAATTTTGGTAGTGAGAATATTAATTTTTTGAGCTGAAAAAGATTAAGAAAATATAAAACAGATACTACTTATAAAAAATTATAAGTATTTTAAAAAGTATATATAAAAAAAAAAGAACACAATTAGTTAATAGAGTATAAAGGAAAGCAACACGAATTGAAACTTAAAATACACACGTCACAATTTTAAAAGTAAGTTCCAATAATGAAGGAAAATAATATTAGTTAAATTGCTATCATCCAAGAAACGCAGCAACAATTCATTATCCAATAATTTTCATTGAGAATATTCCACACATTTAGTTTTGCTCTTTTAATTTTATTCCATTGCATCCTTAATTTGTATTTTCTTGACACAATTAACGAACCATTCTTTAAATTCCTATCATTTTGGGGGTTAATAATAAATGTTATCAATTTCATAATTAAAACAGCTTACATGATAAGAAGATAAATTACGTGTTGCGGCAAAAAATTTGAATAATTATATTAAATTACATGTCAATCTTCTTTATTAAATGTTGAATGACAAAAATGTAAATAGATGTTTAATTGTGGCAAATGAATAAAAAATTAAAATATATAAAACAATTTTTTTAAAAAGTAGAATTAAATCTGGCAAAGGCTACAATATTCACCACAAAATTAAAGTGGAATTTTTTTATTTTTTTTTTGTTTTTGTTTTTGTTTTTGTTTTTGTTTTTTTTTGTTTTGTTTTGTTTTTTTTTTTTTGTTTTGTTTTTGTTTTGTTTTGTTTTGTTTTTTTTAATAGCGACCAACTTAGATCACTTGCTTTTACCACATATATCTAATATTCTCATCATCAATGTGTTTTATTCAATTAGAGAGAGATAAACTCAATTTAATTACAATTGAGTTAAAACCTGATGATGATTTGGTCCCTCGATTATTAAGATTTCACTACTTTGGTTCTCAACTTCCAAACTTGCTCAATTTTATCTTTAATTATGCAATTTTTTTTTTTATCTAAAATCGTCTTTTGTCCAAATCAGAATAGTGATGATTATGAGCATTTTGGTTAACAATTGCATAGTTGGTGAAAAATTGAGCAAGTTTAGAAGTCGATGACCAAAGTGGTGAAATCTCAATAGTCGAGGGACGAAATCGAGTATCAACACATTACAATTCATAAATTTTATTATTTAATTGAATATTAGTAATTAAATTTATATATTTACAAACTAATCATATAACAATAGCACGCATGAGTCATGAAATATGTCGATAATGGAAGATCATTTGATAAATCATTTTATTCCTTAGAATAGAATTTGAGGGGTCCTTGGTATTAAGTTATTTTTGAATTCTTATGAATAAGTTTTTTTTTAAAAAAAAATACTCAAAATTTTTTATAAGGCAGTATTTGTTCTATATATACTTTTTCAAACATTTTCAGTCCAAAGAATTTAAACCCCCACCCTGGGTTTGAACCTATGACCACCCATTTAGAATAGTAACCGGGATGTCATCAGAGTACATGGTTGTTGGCTTGAATAGCTTATTTTTGGTAATACCTAATTTGTCATTATCTACCTTTTGTTATGTATGATGACAACAACAACAACAACAATAACAATAATAATGGAAAATCACTGTTTTGGTCGTTCAATTGTTTTGCAATTGTCAATTTAGTCCCTAATTTTTAGTTTAGTCGAATTGACCTCTAATTATTTTAAATTTCATCAATTAAATATAATTAAGGGATATATCACTTAGGATAAATCTCACCTACCCCCCGGCCCTTTCAATTCTTGGCTAATACGGACTTTCAATTATTATTAGAAAAAATCATTGTTTTGGTCTCTCAATTGTTTTACAACTCTCGATTTAGTCCTTAATTTTTAATTTGGTCGAATTGACCCTTCAATTGTTTTAAATTTCGTCAATTAAGTCCCCTAATCACTATTCCATAAGTTATAGTGGCTGGGGATTTAATTGGCGATATTTAAAACAATTGAAGGGTCAATTCGACCAAATTAAAAACTAGGAACTAAATTGAGAGTTGCAAAACAATTAAGGGAGCAAAATAATGATTTTTCCTAATAATAATTGAAAGTCCGATTTAGCCCAAGAAGGGGGTGAATTAGGCTATGAAAAAA